GATTTTTTTTTATTACATGTGATTCTGACATGATGTCACTACATGCACTGCGCTCCTTCCTCTCCGCTCGTCTCAGGTAAATATTATAATGCGTCTTCAGCTCAGCGGTCGGAGTCGCGCGTTCATGTGTTTTGGGGGCGTGACTTTGGAAGGAGCCCAGAAGGGAGGGGGTGGAGTGAATGGAAATAATGAGCTGTCTCTAAAACAGTCGTGAGAGGTCTACAGACATTCGATTTTTATACTCTTTTTATCAGACTACTTACCTTTTAATTATGCATTGATATATATATAGAAAGTTTAAACAAATTTGGAAAAAAGTGTTTTTTTATAAAAATTTCTACCTACAATACCTTTAATAAACAAATGACATCTAAGAGATAATTTAGGTAACAGGACATTACGTTGAGATTTCTCTTCTCAGTGACAATTTCAAATATACAGAAATTAAAATGAGAGGACTTACTTTTGGTATTCTCATGGCCTGCATACGATCCAGATGATGCAACTTCCTGTTGAAAATGTGTCTTGTCAAAAAAACAAAAAACAAATAAAAAAGTAAGTTTTCACACCAAAAGTGAAATGACACATGCAGGGGAAAGAAAGTTCAACAATACTTCAGCAATAAACACAAATGTGATGTTTAACTAAAGTCATTTTTGCTTATTAGAATTAGATCATTGAAGGTCAGCAGAAAAGACATTGGTTATTAAATACATACATTATGTATTATTTAACATTTAATGTTTGCATTTCACTGTTTTTAAGCATTTTGAGGCATACTGAATCTGGTTTTGTGCAAGTGAGATGATTAATATGCTCACATTTAGTCTAGAACTACAATAAACCATCATGTTCACACAGCGCACACAACACCTCTGCACTCACTCACGATTTCTCTCAACATGAGGACAGGAGCGCTGCCAGACAATAAATGCGGAAAACAGACAAAAAACGTTACTTACTTGGAAAAAAGTAATCTGATTACGTTACTCACATTACTTGTAATGCATTACCCCTAACATTGCTGCAGAATTTAGCTCCAGCCCCAATTAAACACTCCTGAACCAGCTCATCAGTATCGTATAGGGCCTAGTAAGAATTAGCTGGTTCAAGTGTGTTTAATTGGGGTTGGAGCTAAGCTCTGCAGGACAGTGGCCCTCCAGGACCGAGTTTGGAGACCCCTGCTGAACCATTAAAACTTATTTGATTGGAGAAAATAACCACCCTGCCCTTTTGTCAATCACTGGATATGTAAATAAGTCCAGGCCTGCCTAGTGATGTAAAACAGGCTGCGTATGTATGGATAATGAGATGGCATGAGGGAAAAATACAAGTTTCCCATCACAGCAGGCACTGACAGCACGGCTCCTCAAGACAAGCAGTAACAGAGCCTGTTGCTGTAGAATAACCCCTAGTGAACACCTTAGTTGTTTTGATGTGAAATGTTTTGATGTAGAAATCTGCTGCAACTCAGTCAATTTAAGTTCCGCTTAATACAATCAGATTTTGATTTTGCGTAACTGTTTTCTATTAAGTACAATGAACTTTCAGTAATATTTGCGTGAAATGAATTTCATTTAATTAGTTCAAACTGTTCAGTTTGTAACATGTCAACATCCCCAAATGTCAATCATTGCGTCAAGTCTGGGTTTCCCCACTTTGAAAACCGATACTGACCAGCCCTTGTGAAAAAGAAATGCACTTAATTGTTAGTGAATGTGCACTTTTATTGTAGCATACTTCAAATCTTAAAAGCATATTTTTTAAAACTGTACTAGATAAATAAAATATTAATGAAATAAAAGGGCACTTATGTTTGCTTAGAGAGAGTACACACATTACTTTTTTAAAAGTGCACTTTGTAATAATGTCAAATTTAAAGTTTTACATTTTTAAATAATTGTTTTATTAATAATTTGTTGTGGTTTAAAGCAGAACTTTGATTAACATTTTAAAGCACATGTAAAGTACAAGTGATTTTACATTTAAATTACATTACATTTACATTTTAAATATATTTAAAATAGACCAAATTGCAACTTTATCACTACAAGTGTAAGTAGATTTTTTTTTTTTAAAGACAGCATTTTCAATTGAACTGACATGAAATAGTAGTTTAATTGCTTGACAGCTGCAAGTGGTGGCGATTTTGATTTATTTTATGCAGTTAGGAAATCTTTTATTGTTCAAGTTGTTATTTATCTCCTAAACAAGTTTTACTATCCATGTGCATGTATAGATCTAGAGAGTGATTAAAATAAGTGTTCTCTCCATAAATGACAAGAAATAGGCCTAATGTTTTCCTCCATTTTGTCAGCTCCTATATACAGAAAACTGAAAAGATAAATGAATAATGACTTTAAATCAAGTTTATTTGTGAATGGTCATGAGTAATTTCATAAATAAATGTGGGATTAATACTGTGCACATTTCTATTAAACCTGTTTCACTGCACAATTTCCACCTTCTTTCTTTCTTTGTTGAACAAGACTGACTCAGCATTTTGTGTGTCGCATTTTGCTCAGTTTGCTGTGTGTTTGAAGAACAATGGCATGCCTTATGACTCAATGTGCCAGTAAAGTGACACAAAAATGAAAATGCATAATTTACAGCATTGAATCCGAATTAATGTTTTTTTTAACAACCGCAAGGATCAAATAGCATGATTATAACATGATTTATGACTATATCTTAATGTTACTTTGCTCTTATCAGCATAGACTTGTCAAACATTTCATATTGACACATGCTGTAAGTCTGTTTAGATATGTAATCCTGCTAAAGCATTCCTTTCATGATTTAGCACACTGAACCTACTTTCAAGTAAGCAAAGCCTGGGTTATGGATGTTGTTTGTTATACATTTTCACTAAAACCTGTAACCTTGACACAAAGCTGTAGAGACGGTCATTACTAATGAGAGATATGCTGATTATGCCAATGTTTGTTGGTTGAAAGCAGTTCTTTTTTAAACACACGTTTGAGGTATCATTTGATCTGAAGCCCACAGCTGCGTTTTAATATGATCTCTTTGTGTCCCGCCGCCTCTTATCAGGCCCTTCATTTGGTGCCCATGACAACTAGTTGAAAGACAGGACGCTGAAAGAGTGGGGGAGGTAGAGGTAAAAAGATGAAGTCTGCAAATGACAGCTACTTTTGCACACTGCCTAAAATCAAAGAACATACGATAGCTTAAACATAGGCCTAGACTAGAGGAAATGTTTGGAATGCCAAGCTATTGTGTTTAGTGTAGCTATCCTATCCTACAAAGATTTATGTATGTTTGGATGAGTGCAAAGATTTACTCTCTGGGAACCGCAGCAGATAAAATGGAAGAGGAAATGAATAATATGACATATGAGTAAACACTGACAGATCCTCTGGCAACCCCAGAGGAATGTTAAAGCATCAGTCTGACACAAGGCAGCACGGAAAATCCCACAAACTAGGTTTCCTCCTCCTCCTCCTTAAAGGTGCTCTAAGCGATGTCATGTGTTTTTTAGGCCAAAACATTTTTTGTCACATACAGCAAACATCTCCTCACTATCCGCTGGCTGCCTGTCCCCTGAACACACTGTAAAGAAACGCGATCTCTGTAGACAGCCCATGCTTCACAAACAGCACCAAAAACAAACTGCAGCGACCCGCTCCCCAAAACATAAGAAACTGTTCCAGCCAATGACCGACAAGAAGGGTTTGGGGGTGTGGTTTGGGGGGTTAGTGTGCGGATGAGGAGGAGGGAGGGTCTAGCTAGCCTCCGTTTTGTTTGACAATAGTTCGAACGTCAACAAGAAGTGACGTCACCCAGGATCGCTTAGAGAACCTTTAAAGAAACAAAGTGCTTTTACCTTATGACATAGCAATTCAGTGAAGGGCAGCTAGAAAGATTATAATAATCTGAGGTCAGTGAGGGTCTTTATGTAATGTCTCGTGATGAAGTTGAGGAAAATCTAGTGAATTAAGAGTGACAAAATACCTGGCAGAAAGTCACATTGCAGAAGCCCCATGACGTGAAATTTACGGTTGATTATGTTGGTTGTATTTGAGGAACAAAGTTTTGTTAAAGAAGTTTTGCTTCAGGCAGAAATAAAGTGTTTTGCCTGTAAGTTCCTAACTGTAACACAAATGTTTACACCATTTGTTTTAAAAATGTATTAGTTTAATATTTTTTTTTATAAATCTCTTAGGAGCAGTTCATAATTTATCCAGTGTATCATTACTAGTTTTTGGTAATCGCTACATTTGTTATAGGCTGTTGCTTACTACAAATGAATGAGCTATTTTCGCTGGAGTAAGTTTTCACTATATTAGTAGGCTATTTGGCTCATTTGTAGGCTATAACAGTGGATTTGGAAACAGCACATCGCACGTACGCATGTGTTCAGCATAGAAAATGTGCAAAGTCATGCTGGCATAAACAGATCTCAGTGGTCACTCCACCTAACCTGACTCCGCCAGATGGATTTGCTCCGCATATCCATCTGGAAACCTTCCGTTGAAGTAGTTTTGGTAAGGGGCGAAAATACTGGTTAGCTGATTGGCCTATGTTGGTGATAGACGGGCCAAATCAACCAATCAGATCAACGAAGCATATGACGTACTAACAGAGCGTATCTTTTCCTCTGAGAAAAGCCTCCAGAGCAGTGTTTTGCTCTTCTTTCAGTGAAGAAATACTCTGTAATTCCGATAAAACTTGCTCGATAGCCACGCTGATGCTAGTTTCATCCGCTGAAGCCGACATGTTGTTTAGACTGAACTGTCGCGCTTCTCGTTGCGTCACACCTCAACCCGCCTCAAAGCCAACGCTGATTGGACGTTCGTTTGGTGAACTGCTCCCAAATTTTCTTTAACGGAAAGTATCCAGACTGATCTGCGAGTGAAACCTTGAAAGCTCGCGAGATCAGGATGGTCTCACGAGGCTACACTCCACCACGGAGCATTTACTTTTGAGTCGAGGCAGTGCATCTCACGGAGTATCGCGATACTTGAGCGTGACCTATTTAAACACCAACCACTGCCGTGAGAGTTCAACTTCACACTCATTCATTAACAGAGACAGTAGGATTTTGGAAGACAGCCGAAGGTATGAAATACTCAGTTACTTAAAACTTTTCTTTTCTTTCCTTTCCTTTCCTTTCCATTGAATATGCGTTTTATGAAAAGTAATCGAACACAGCTGCTCTTTTTTTACCATGGAAATTTCCATGTAATTTCGTTACTGCTTTTGGTGGGAGAGTTTCGTTTTCCGTAATTGCGATATTTACATTTATGATGTATTTATATACGTTTGAATTAATAATGCATTGTGAAATTGTTCCCATGTGAACATGTTTGCAATGCACCCACCTGTTGCAGTTCGATCAATGTAAAGTGATTTAACTAACGTTACGTATAAAATTATTATAATGCTGAATTTGTAGCCTATAAATAGGGTTACGCCCACTTTAAAATAACTTTGCTATTACGAAAGTATAGCCTATACTAACTATTAGTAGCCTACATGTGTTGCAATTTGAGGAAATATTGAAATAACGAAAGAAAATTACTTCCTGAAGACCAACTTACTTACAGTATTCTATTCTATTTCTAACAAGCAATTAATCATATCGTATTTTGCTCATTGATGTGTAAGCTCTTTATACTGTTCAGGTGTTTTCCTTTCTTTAATGTAACGTTTTTGTTTTGTTTTTACAAAAAGAGTTCCTGTTATTTCTTATTTTATTGTTTTTCATGAAACACATTTTCTTCTCTTGAACTTAGCAGAAAATGGCAGCTGGAAAAGCACATATTGGCAAGCCTGCTCCAGACTTCACAGCCAAAGCTGTGATGCCAGATGGACAGTTTAAAGATCTCAGTTTGTCTGACTACAAAGGTATGACCTTAACATTACAAGCAGAATGTCCTGTAATATGTGATAAGAATATTTAACTGAAGAAAAAAAAACAACTCTGCAAGGAAGCATTACCAGGAAACTCAAGGGTGTGATATTGAATCACAAATATTATTAGAGATAGCACACATTGTGTGAGTGTCCTTGTGCACTTGTGACCAATGCTTTATTGCTCTTGTTTCCAGGAAAGTATGTTGTATTATTCTTCTATCCATTGGATTTCACCTTTGTTTGCCCCACTGAGATCATCGCCTTCAGTGATGCGGCCGAGGAGTTTGGGAAAATCAACTGTGAGGTCATTGGTGCCTCTGTTGATTCCCACTTCTGTCATCTTGCCTGGTGAGTGATGAAGATGAAGAAAAAAAGGTCAAACTTTAAAGGGGCCGTATCATACTTTCAAAATATTTTTACCCTAATGTCAATGCTGCTAAAGTTTTTTTTTTTTGTCACACTCTCTCAGACTCTTAAAACGGTCTGTTTTATGCTGTTGTGCCTTAAAGAAACACACCCATTGCATGTAAAAAGAACAACAGTGCTATTTAAGTATCAATGATATATCATCATTTTTTAGAGCTACTAAAAGGACTCTAATATGAGATGGGAGAAATAATATATTTAACTTAATCATGATTAATCGCATTTAACATAAAAGTTTTTCTGTGTGTATATATATATATTATATATTGATACACAAACTTTTATGCTAGATGCGAATAATCGATTTGACCGCTCTAATTTAAATGCTTTTGCGTTCTCTCGCAAATAACTCAAAAGGTTTGCGAGTGAAAGCAAAACATCTCGGGTAAAGCAAACATTTTGCGGTTGGACGCAATCGACTACATTCCCCCCCAACCCCCCCCCCCCCCCCCCCACCCCCCCCTTGTTCGAGAAGCCATTTCACTCACAATAGGGAAGAAAAGACTATCGCATACTTCTGTTTCATGCCGACTTGTTATATGATAATTGATGGTTTCAATTTTAGTTAACAATAATAACCCTGTCTCACAATGGTATAAAATGTGTTACACTACTCTTTATTCTTTGCCTAAAAACCACCTTGTCTTTAGACGTTTTAAAGTGTTATTCTATTGTACAGAGTTGACAGACTTATTCAATATTCATGAACTTACCAATGAATGACAAAGTTTTTACCACAACAGGATAAACACACCTCGGAAACAAGGTGGTTTAGGACATATGAAGGTCCCTCTGGTGGCAGATTCCCTCCACTCCATATCTCAAGACTATGGTGTACTGAAGGAAGATGAGGGTATTGCATACAGGTATGGAGGGATTACCTAAATAATAATAATAATAAAAAAAATATAAAAAATATATATATATATATATATATATATATATATATATATATATATATATATATATATATATATATATATTGAAAAGTATCATATACACTACCATTCAATATTTTTTTTGAAAGAAATTAATACTTTAATTAAGCAAGGATGCGTTAAATTAATCAAAAGTGACAGAAAAGACATTTATAATGTTACAAAATATTTCTATTTTAAATAAATGCTGTTCTTTCTATTCATCAATGATTCCTGAAAATAAATTGATCACAGTTCCCCCCCCCAAAAAAATGTAAGCAGCACAACTGTTTTCAACATTTATAATAATAATAATAATAATAATAAATGTTTCTTGAGTATCAAATCAGCATATTAGAAGGATTTCTGAAGGATCATGTGACACTGAAGACTGGCATAATGATGCTGAAAATTCAGCTCTATCACAGGAATAAATTATGTTTTGAAATATATATTTAAATGGAAAACAGTTATTTTGAAGTGTAATAATATTTCACAGTGTTGCTGTTTCAAATAAATGCAGTCTTGGTGAGCATTAGAGACTTAAACAAATATTTAAAAAATCTTACAGACTCTTGAACGGTAGTGTATCTTTGAACTACTTCTTAGTGATGGATTTTAGCACACAATATTAGAATAAAACAATTCAGATCTCCCTCTGTATATTGTTATTAACTTCTTTTCTTTTTTTCTAACTTAGAGGTCTTTTCATCATTGATGACAAAGGCATCCTGAGGCAGATAACCATCAATGACCTGCCAGTGGGCCGCTCTATTGATGAAACCCTGCGCTTGGTGCAGGCCTTTCAGTTTACTGATAAACATGGAGAAGGTATACAGCATATTTTCTTGCCTTTGGACTGAAAGTTCTTCTTGATTTTACATACTATTCCTTTCATACAGTACCGTGTGAAATGGGTTACCGTGTTTCCATTTTTAAAAAATATACCTTTTTGTTGTCACTTATCCTAGTTTGCCCAGCCGGATGGAAGCCCGGAAAAGACACAATCAAGCCCGACGTCCAGCAGAGCAAAGACTACTTCTCCAAACAACAATAAAAAACACACTAGACTGTGCAGCATTGTGTAAGAATGGTAATAATATTTATAGTGATATTGTGTGAAGTTATAGGACCAAAGTGTTTCATACTCAAAACTACCTGAAATATACTGTAACATTCGAGCTAGTATGTATAATGTGTCTTCCCGTCCTTTCTGTTGTGAAAAGAGATTGTATTGTCAACAAATTGTTGCATTTCAAACAATAAACCATTTTTAACTATAAACTGTTTTTTTTTTTTTTTTAAATTACGATTATTTATTGTATAGTTTAATGAACTCAGTAGGCTAAATAAATATGTTGAAAATAAATAAATATTAGTAAATATATTAATCAAATCATTGTCTGGTCTTTGGAGATGAGGGGGCTTTGTGTTTGCCGCCAAATGCGCGTGATCTGTGACAAATGACTCGAGTCGCGCGCGCTCACCGATTTGTCGCGGTCAGCGGTTTAACTTAAAAAGTTAACGTTATAGCTGTATTATTTTTAGGGTTTTTAACAATAAATGATTATTTTAATCAAATAACACTTTGTCTTACATAAACATCGATAGATTTATTGAATTATCAACTTGTTGAATTGTTTATTGAAGCCATAACAGTTGTTGAGGGGATTATTTCCGTTTGAGGAAGCTAACATTACAGTTAACGTTAGCGCAAACATGACAACCAGACAGAAGACACTGACTCGAGACAAACAGGTGATTGCTGAGGTGAGATACTAAATCAATGACATTTAAAGTGTGAATGTAAATAAAATATACCCTTACAAAATATGCCATGCTTTCAAATAAGGAGCTCAATTCAACCGTTTAAGTGGTGTCCGTCGTGTTACTACTGTAACATCATAGTATATTAATTTGAGGTCTGCTTCATTCATTATAAGAAGCTGTCAGAATCATAATTTATTTTATTATTGTTGTGATTATCAATGACAGTGGTCGCAAATGCAGTTACCACAGGTTTGCTGTAACAGAATAAACACTCCCTGAGGTAACGTTAACTGGATATATAGCCTATGTTAACTTAACGTTACTAGCTAACGTAGACTAACGTTACTAGACTAAACGGTCATTTCTGTAATAAATAGCTGGTCAATACCGTGGTGGTATATATCAAGTATTGCTAAGCTAACAAAATATTATTGTAATATTTCAGTTGTAATGTTTTAAGACCATTATTAGTGCTTTTATGTCCTTTTCACTGTTTCACAGTTTGTCTGCACTGCCGTAAACTGAGATGGTTGTCATTCATATTTCTGTAGACTAATTGATGTTCAGTATATATTTGACTTATGTTCTCAGTTCTCACAGTTTATCATAGACATGTTTGACAGGGAACTGTCATTTGATAGTCATATTTCCAATGAGAACAATATTTTTTTCTCACTAGGTTACAGAATATTCTAATCTATTAAAGATGCAGAAAAGTTCCTGCATTCATAACTTGACTGAATTATTGTCATAATGCACCACTGGTTGGAAACAGTATTCTCAATGTCTCCATAAATAAAGTACAGTTTGTTCTGAATGCAGCAGAGAGAGATCTATATCATCATAAAAATCATTAGCTAGGTAGTATATTTTCGAAAGCTTAAACACTCAAAATTCGTCCTGTGAAAAAGTTTTTAAATTAGACATAGTGTTTTTTTTAAATTTGACAAAATTTACGGCACTATTTTATAATCAAATCTTTTTCTAAGCGTGACAAAACATATCGTTGGAAAGGTATGGGTGTCTCAAGGTTTCATATTTATTGTTTTGTGACAGTAATGTATTAAAATGATGCATCAAAATAATATCAATAGAATGAACCACCTTTTTGTGGTATCATTTTCAAATTTGGAACATAACTTGGTTATACATATGATATGACTTTGATTTTCTATCTATTTTAGAGTCAAATTAGAAATTATTTAGTAAAATATATATTTGGTATAAAATAAAAAATGTTTAGTACAGTACATTGCTGTACAGTACACTTAAACGTCAAAAAAAAATTTTTAACACTTTATTTTTTGTTTGTTTTACTTAAGCAGTGTCTTCTTTAAACAAAAGAGTTCTGTATTCCACAGCTAACTATTTAAGTTTGGATACTGCATTTTCACATCTACGCTTAAAAAGGTCTCAAAGCTATAATTCTATTAAATGACAAAGCATTTGTCATTCTGTGTCATTTGCGAACATTTGTGTATGTACTGTATGTGGATATAAACTTCAAGGCACTGTTCTTTGTAAACCTGTGTTAATGTGAATTGAACTGAACCAGTGTATTTCATCAGGCGCTGGATACTGAGACTCAGTCACTGGTGTTTGTCAAGCGCATGGTGGTTTTAGCTGTCTCCTCCATCACCTATCTGCGTGGGATATTTCCAGAGGACTCCTACAGATCCAGATACCTGGAAGGTATAAATATACACACTGGTTTATTAATGGTCGAACATTTGAAAATATCCCATACAAGTTTGTTCATTGATGAATGTTGTTGTTCTTCAGATTTGTGTATCAAAGTCCTTAAAAAGGATTGTACTTGCCCTGCAGCCCGCAATCTCGTCAAATGGTAATATGTTGCATGAATTTGTACAGTAAATTGCCATGTTTGTTTATTTGAATGTATATGTGGAAATATATTTGTAATGATTCACTGAAGTAAAAAAAAATGCTAAGATGCTATGAAAAGTGATTAATAACCATACCTCTGTCCTCCAAGGCTGATGGGGTGTTTTGATGCTTTGGAGAAGAGATATGTAAGTCAAAAGTACCATATTTCGATCGAAATCTATTTTCTATTATTTTTGGCACTGTATTAATTTACTTTATTTTTTGCAGCTTCAAATGGTGGTCATTGGGGTCAGTATGCATAAGTAAATGTGTGTTTTTATTTATATAATAATTTTTTCAAGAAATAAACAAATAAATTCACTGTTTTTTTATACACAGGTACACACAAGCCCAGATGACATTAATGTAAGTTCCAAGTTTCAATCTTCCATGGAGTTTTTAGATAGGGTTTAGTTAAAAAAAAAAAAAATTATGCCAAGGACCCCCAAATATACTTTCATGTTCAAGACTATTTATACTGTGTGAGCTACTGTGTAAGTGGAATTCCAAAATCAAATGATTGGCTTTTATATTTTATTATACTAAAGAAAATCCCCCAGAAAATATTTATTTTCTATTTAAATTGACTTTTAAGTCTACCCTTTTTTTGACCTGCATTAGAATATTGTTAAACGCATAAAGTTGGAGAGAAATAATTTGAGATTTGTGGAGCACTGGAGTATAAGTTGAGGCGTGGATCTAAACGCAAGCTGTATATTTATTTAAAGACACCAAGCAGAGGAATATATACACAAGAGAGATGCACAAACAAGACAAAGGTGTACATAATCAGAAACCATGCTAACTAATAGAAAGATAGTTTACATGACAACGATGTACTAAAACCGGAAAGTTTTTCCTTCACGTTTTTTATGCAGAGACGATAACGTTGTCAAAACGATCCCAGTTCACACGGATCCATGAAAAACGACTAAAAACACTGTATTCTGCTGCCAGGCTAGTTGTTGAAACACTGCGCACCTACAGACTGAACATGTAATACTCATGCTCATGACGTCACTATTTTTCACAAATTCATGTTTCGATAACCGTATCGTTTTTCAAAAGCTTGTACTTTGAAACCCATTTTCAAAACTTTGTGTTTTCAGGCCTCCAAAACGCTGTTGTTCTGTAAATGAACGGCCAAAACGCATAAAAAGTTTTCTGTTTTTAGTTGAAAACAGTGTCGTGTAAACGGCCCCTCAGAAACAATGGAACACAAAAACACTGAATACCCGAGACAATTCCAAAATAAGATAAAGGTGACATTGGTGAGGAAAAACTCAGCACTGAGATTTTTCATTTTTGTATGTATGTCACAAGGATAGATGACTACTATAAAATATATGCAGATTTGTTGAGTTTTTTAGGACTGTCAGTGGAATAAAATGATTGCGATGCAATTAATCTCATAATTTACGTCTTTAGTGGAATAAAATAGCAAATTTAGCAAATGTGTTAATTACTGCTTTACACATAATTTGTTAATTTTTCCAAGTGCTATACATTTTGAAACCATAAAAATAAAAATGTGGACACCAGTGATATGACTTTTCCAAACCTGCTGTTTTGTCTCTTGCATGCGTCTGTTGTCTCAGCACGTCATTGAGTCCTATCAGTTTAAGTTCAGATACTCAGAGTGTGGACCACAGATGGACATCATGAGGTGAAGTATTGTACATTGCTCTATCTTTTTTGTAGTTTGCATTTCCTGTATGTCCTCAGTTGATGACTACATAACAATAATTCTGTACACTACCATTCAAAAGTTTGGGGTTCTTAAGATCTTCTTTTAAATAAATGTATAATTTTATTCACGCATTGAATTGATCAAAGGTGACAGTAAACACATTTATGATGTTAAAAAATATTTATTTTTCAAATAAATGCTGTTCTTTTGAATGTTCTTTTCAAGGAATCCTGGAAAAAAGTATCCGTTTCCACGAAAATATTAAGCAGCACAACTGTTCAACAATAATAAATGTTTCTTGAGCATCAAATCAGCACATTAGAATGATTTCTGAAGGATCAAGTCGAGTAATAATGCTGAAAATTTGGCTTTATCATCACAGAAATAAGTTAAATGTTTAATTTTTTTACTATTTTATTTCTGATACTGTATTTCAAATAAATGCAGCCTTAGTGAGCCTAAGAAACTTCAAAAACATTATTAAAGATCTTACTGACCCCAAACTTTTGAACAGTAGTGGATATAGTTTTGGACATTATGCTGCTAATTTAGTGTAAATTGATGTAAAAAAAACCCTCTATTGAAATCTCCATTCACTTCACACACACTAGTCCTCACCTCTTTTCTTCATTTCAGTAATGTGACTGGGACCATGAGAGTGACCTTAGAGGACACTAAGAAAGCTTCAACTCTCCTGATCAAGAAGCTGTTCCTCCTCATGCAGCATCTAGAAGCTCTGCCCACTGACGTTTACCTCACTATGAAACTCTACTACTATGATGATGGTACAATATATCCTTTCTTCTTTCTTTCTTTATTGTATTTATATAGCACAATTTATTGCAACTACAGTTGCACCAATGTGCTTTCCAGCCAGCGATAACGAATAAAAAGTAAATACATAGACATCACAAAAAAACAACATAGAACAACAACAAAACAACATAGAACAACAACAGAGGATTTAGCCTCGACGCCCAGAGGAATTAAAAGCCTGAGTTAATAGGTGGGTTTTTAATAATGATTTAAAACTGGAAATAGTCTGAGCCAATCTAATGTGAACGGGTAACAGATTCCAAAGTTTCGGGGCAGCGATCGAGAAAGCACGATCCCCCCTATGTTTAAATCTGGATCTAGGGATCGTTAAGAGAGACTGATCAGAGGACCGTAGGGATCTATTTGATGTATAACGTTTCACTAAAGAATCAAAGTATGTGGGTGCCAGACCATTAAAGGATTTAAAAACAAACCAAAGTTTATATTCTATACGGAAACGGATCGGCAACCATTGAAGAGAGTACAGAATTGGAGTAATGTGCTCACGCTTTTTTGTACCTGTCAGTAGCCTAGAGGCCGCATTTTGGACTGTCTGCAAACGCGCCAACGCTGTCTGGCTAACTCCTGTGTAGAGAGTGTTACAATAATCGAGTCGTGAAAAAAAAATAAAAGCATGAATCACTTTCTCAAGGTCATTAAAAGAAAGAAAGCTCTTTACCTTGAATAGAAGTCTAAGATTAAAAAAGCAAGATTTAACTACATTATTTATTTGCTTATCGAATTTGAGGTCTTTATCAAATAGTACGCCTAAGTTCTTCACAAGTGGCTTATTGTACATAGCCAAGGGACCAAGATTATAATTTAGAGAAACTGTTTGTTCATTTAGTCCAAATAAAATTATTTCTGTCTTATTATCATTTAGTTTCAGACCATTTAAAGCCATCCAGCTTTTCACGTCATTTAGACAGTCCAAAAGCAGATTCAAAGCATTCTTGTTGAATGGGAAATAAATCTGCGTGTCGTTGGCATAACAGTGAAAAGAAACACCATGTTTATTGAAAATAGAACCCAATGGGAGCATATATAACAAAAACAAAAGAGGAGCAAGAATGGACCCCTGTGGTACACCACAGGTAAGTGGAGCTAACGTTGACAAACATTCGCCAAGTTTAACTGCAAAACTACGATTTGTTAGATTATAGGACTTAAACCACTGAAGGGCCATTCCTCGCACTCCAACATGGTGTTCCAAACGAGAGACCAAGATGTTATGATCCACTGTATCAAATGCTGCACTAAGATCTAATAATACCAAAATTGTTGAGGATCCTGAATCAGCACTTAATAGAATATCATTCTGAACCTTTAAAAGAGCAGATTCTGTGCTGTGTTTTTCCCTGAATCCAGATTGAAAGGTTTCAAACACAGAATTCTTCTCTAAAAAAGATTGTAATTGACTAAAAACTACCTTCTCTAAAATTTTGAAATTGGTCTAAAATTAGATAAATCTGTCGGATCCAAGTTCGATTTTTCAATTAAAGGTTGCACTATAGCGTGTTTTAGATAGGCTGGCACGGAACCCGTAGCCAGACAGCAATTTACTAGGATCAAAATACTAGGGCCAATGACATTAAAAATCTGTTTAAAAATATGGGTCGGAATAACATCTTGAGGACTAGAAGAAGGCTTCAAATGTTTGACTATCTTCGCCAGGGTCGAAATAGACACAGGCTCGAACCGATGAAAAACAGCAGAGACAGTCGACGGCGGAATTGAGGGATCATGAACAGAGGGCTGAATAGAAGATCTAATACAAGCAATCTTATCCATAAAATGTGTGCGAAAGGTTTCACAAGTTCCTTCTGCAGTATGGAGAGTGAAGTGGAAAAGAACTGTTGATTCATGACAAATATTATGTTTTTGGGGATCAAATGAACGTGCTTAGTGAAATATCAATGCTTTTGTCTCCTTGCAACTTGAGTCACTCCACCTGAATACGAGCCACCAGGATTCAAGGCAGGTGTAAATGACAGTCTGTGGTTCGAGGGAAAGCCAGTGCACTTCAGAGTGGGCGATCTGCAGTCTCGCTTCCACACCATGAAGTTGCGTGTGACGGCAGCACACAACCGACTCGGGAAGCTACAGGACGGGGGCCAGTTGAGCGACAACGACACGGAGATGGTGACACCCTCTCTCTCTCAAATCAGAGCTGTAGAAACGGTACAGAGCAGATGGATCTTAATGTACAGGGTAAGCTTTGATATGTGTTCACCAGACGGGATTCTGAAACATTTCTCTTGTGACAGATGACCAGAAACTCGGACCAGGACCTGCCATCTGAAGACGGTAAGTATCTAAAACAGGGGTTTTTGTTCGGAAGGTGTGGCCTGCTTTGACATTCAGCTTTGTCTGCTACCTTTTGCAGAATCTCTTGCAAACTTTAAACAGCCCAGAAAAGCTATTGCAAAGGTAAGCAACTTATGATTTATATGGTGATAAAGTGTTTTTTTGTTGATTAAAAACACATTTTGATGCCTTTTCATTATACATTTGCACAGAGGAAATGTGTGAGAAGCAAACTTCCAAGGAGGAAAAAGAAGAAATGCTTTTAAAACCCATAACAGGTTCACATCAGACAAACATGTTTTTGCCAACATTTTTTATTCAAATATAGTAAAAATGGCTTTGTACCAGGAAGAAGTTTAAAAAGTTTTTAGCTCTAGAGAATTCATTCTCAAATTCTAAGATAATTTATTATTTATTTATAATTTATAATGAGGTGACTTCCTGTTTGGTGTTGATGAAGAAGGACAGAGATATTAATTCGCTGAATGTAGAAAACAATGTTGAATGAATGACACATCAGCTGAATGTACAAGAGTATGCACATAAAATAAACAATACTTCAGACTACCATCTTTATACACAAGCTCCTTTATTACAATTATTTACCGGCTTTTGTCATTAATTTAAAAAATATTACCATATTTGCGTAGTGTTTCCTCGAGCGAATGAATAGGTTAAAGCCTACATTCACAGCATGAGTAAGATCTGATACACACGTACATAAACAAAACTAATACATTATAGCTATTTAACAATCGAATTAAATGACAGTTTCTTTCAAATAAATGCAGTTAACACTCTTTTACGATCATGAAGAATTGTGCCATCCTACAGTAAAGGCACTTGATTGTGAAATATACACAGATAGCTGCCGTTACTTAGAAATTATGTTGGCAGGCTAAACATGGTCCATTAGTGGTGAACATTAATGCATTTCAGTAACTGTGCTTGTCAGTCTTTAGGCTACGTGGGTAATGCCACATTGAGATCTTCCAGTAGGATCCAATCATTAATCTGGGACCAGAATACGTGTTTAAAAGAGACTATCCACATCACCCATCTCCACCACCACAGTCTTCAACTGAGAATACAATTCAATGGTGACCTGGCCATTTTCTCTTCCAATACCTGAAATCAGAGATAGAAGGTTGAGTTTAATTTGGGGGTATTTAGTGTTATAGAGCCAACACACACACACAAACAAAAAAATGTTTTGTAACTCCTATTGTCACCCAACCTGAGGCCTTGTATCCTCCAAATGGCACCTCCACAGGTGTGATATTGTAGTTATTGATGAAACAAGTTCCAGCCTGAAGGTTTTCTATAACTCGATGTGCTCTCTTAATATCTCTAGTGAGTCAGAAACAGACAGGAAAAGAAAATATGAGCAAATGGGAAAGCCCCAGTCTAGCTTTGAAACATCAACCAATCACAAATACTACCGTTCAAAAGTTTGGAATTCGTGAAAATAGTTTAGAAAGAAATTAATACTTATTCAGTAAAGACATAAAATGCAATAATCAAATGCAACAGTAAAGACATTTGTAATGTTACAAAAGAGTTCAAAACAGTCTCATCTACGCCAATATGGATCAATGATTTTTGATGACATCACTCTGCACTTCAGCTTCTCATCAGATTTTCTGTCTCTCTAATCTAAAGAGCCTCGCCCCCTACATTATAAATAGACGCTGAAGCTGCGGCTGGAATCAGTCACTTGTTCGCACATGTTGGCACACAGTGCACTATATAGGGGATAGGGAACGATTCAGGTGTAAATATGCTTTCCATTGGGGCGAATGAAGTCTGGTTTCACATTAGTGTCACGAACCGCTACAGGCCGCACACAGTCTGCTCCGGTCCAGAGTCAGCGCAGACCTGAAAACGTATCGGAACCATTTGAGTTCTACACAGAATGCTATTTGAAAGCACATGGGTGAGATTAGAAGGAGAAACGGTTAGAGATTAGGAGGAAACTGGGGCTTTACCGAGCTCAACGGCTCAGGCTGAGCTGTGATAAAAACTAAACACTATTGGCGATTTTTAAAAAGGGGAGGAGCTGTTCGATATGCCCTGCCCTGTCTTCCTGTTTCAGTGGAAATTACATCAACACACTGAATAATGCTACTAAGGATGCAACAATACAGTTAGCCCACGGTTCAATACATACCTCGGTTTTTTAACCACGGTTTTCTGTTCGGTTCGGTTCTGATGGCTTGACACATTAGAGTGTTTTTTTGTTATTCTATGCTTAGCCAATAGGAACAGTAAGAGGTTAAGGAGAAAAAAATTTAAACGATTTATTGGAATACTCCTTTATTTTACTAAAAAGCTAAGAAAAGTCCACTAGTTTCTAGTGTGTAGTATAATATAAAATTAACACTGACATTTCATAGCTGCTGGTAGCCCATGTACGAACTGGGGAACACATAAATTCCTAAATTTTGAAAATAGACATACATGTGAAGTTGGTAAACATAAATTGACCATTTCAAAGAAACATACTTGCACTTCAGTAAACATAAATAAACCATCTTAATTCAACTTAACAGTAATCCAGTAGCGACAGTGTCCTTTCACTTAGGTCAGCTATCTATTCCTGTATTTTGAGGTTTCCGTTTGAGTAGGCTACACGTGTAAAACAATGCTTGCACACAGTCATTTATTTGTTTACCGTTTTTTTTCTTCCTCGGTTTTATACTCAACGGCAAAACCGAAATGTCCCCACACCGCGGATTTGAAAGACGCCGGCGCTTCCTCGTACTGTAGCCTCACTTCACCGCCGCTCGCCATGTTAAAGTGTGGAATCATGGTTAAGCTGCGCGCGCGCCCCCTAATTTACTCGCGGCCGTCGCGGGGAGGAGTTTCCTCATCTCAGCTCGTTACAGGCACACACAGACAGTCAATTCGGAGAGAAATAAAACGCACATAAATTATTTAAACGTAAAACCGAAAAACCGCAATTCACAAGTGCGTATTGAACCGTGGATGTCGTACCGAACGGAATTGTGGCATCCCTAAATGCTACGCGTTTCAAGGTACTTTAGTGGGCCTTTAAAATAGAAAACATTTTAAAACATATTTTTACTCTATATTGGATCAAATAAATGCAACTTGGATGAGTTGAGAGAACTTTAAAAAAAATCGTACCGACCCCAAATGTTTGAACGGTAGTGTATAAAACTAACTTTCACTTTACTTAGTAAAGACCCCTGCAGCCAGACCCAGAGAGCTGTCATTGGCTCTCCGAAGAACCTCGTCCTCAGTGTCGAAGGACAGTACTGACATCACAGGCCCAAAGATTTCCTCTTTGACACACGTCATGTCATCCGTGCAGCCATCTGGAAACAAGAGTTGAGGAAGTGAACAGAATGAAAAATAAACCATTGAGTGTTTCCCAAACACAGGACCTCAAAACATCAGCTACCAACAGTTTTTCTAACTCACCGAGCACACATGGTGTCATGTAGTATCCATCTTTTAGTTTAGGATCCGTTGGGATGAAGGGCTCCCCTCCACAGAGCACTCTGGCTCCCTGTCAAGAAAAAGCACCTACTTTACTAAGCCATATAATATAGTAAACACTACAATCATGCTACTAAATGAATATTTTCGACTAAACATACAGCTGTACCTCTTTCTTGGCTTGGTTCACATATCCCAGCACCTTCTCCAGGTGTGGTTTGCTGACCAGGGCTCCCATACGAGTTTCCTCCAACAGAGGGTCTCCTATCAGGATGGCTTTAGTTCTCCTGACCACCTCTTTCAAGAACTGAGGAACAATTGAGCTTTGCACAAAAACTCTGGTTCCATTACTGCACACCTACACGTGGGGAGTAAAACAAAGAAGGAAATATTAAGGAATGGGGTAATACATGTTTGTATGATTATGAAGATCTTGAGTGCATTTATAGATGCATAGTTGACCATAGCAGCCAAACTGTTTAATTACTAAAAATAAAATTTGTGAAAAAAGGTAATGCTGCCATGACACAAGGTGTACACTACCATTCAAAAATGTGTGGTAAGACTTAAAAAAAAAAAAAAAACTTAATTATTTTATTCAGCAAGGATGATTTACTTTAGGTTGATAAAAAATTACAGTAAATATATTTATAATGTTACAAAAGGTTTCTATTTCAAATAAATGATTTTTTTTTAAACTTCCTGAAGAAAAAAAAAATGCATCATTGGTTTACACAAAAATATTAAGCAGCACAACTGTTTTCAACATTGATAATAATAAATGTTTCTTGAGCAGCAAATCATCATATTAGAATGATTTCTGAAGGATCATGTGACACTGAAGACTGGAGTAATGATGCTGACAATTCAGATTTGATCACAAGAATAAATTACATTTTAAAATATATTACAATAGAAAACAGTTATTTTAAATTCCACAATATTATATTTACTGTTTAATACTGTTTTACTGTATTTTTGATCAAATAAGTGTAGCCTTGGTGAGCATAAGAGACTTCTTTCAAAAACAGACCCCAAACTTTTTAACGGTAGAGTATTTTCTGTTTTTCGTCTCTGCCTTTTTTAAGTCTGATTTATTTATACATTTATTTTAGAGTGAACACATTTTTAATCAGACAACTTAAAATATTGTGTAAACTAAAATACCATATAAAGCAATATTATTGTAATAATTATATGTTATAATGTTGTCTAAAGCAACATTGCAGTTGTGCAGTTGGTCTATATCAGCTTGGCTGTGATCATCTGTGACAGGTACATGAGAAGGAGCTTATTACGTACTGGACATGGCTAACTCTCGAAAAATATATTTTACAGACGCCAAAACGCTGTAAGTTCATACTTTGACTTGACCTTTCAATACAGTACCTGGCCTTGAGACAGGAAGTTGGCCATGAGTGCTCCTCTAACGGCGTTTTCTAGATCAGTGTCCTCAAAGATGATCACTGGAGATTTACCTCCAAGCTCCAGTGTCACTGGTTTGACCCCTCGGGACGCCATTTCCATTATCTGTTGGGACAAACCATGCATTTAAACACAGGTTTAAAGTGCATTCCAACTACTATTAGTAAACTTCTCAATAGACTGTATAACGTCATATATAATATACACAACTTGTATTAAACCAGAGTGATTTTAATAATGCATTAGTAAATGTTGAAATGAAGAAATGAACTGAGATTAATGAATGCTGTAGAAGTATTGTTCATTCTTAGTTCATGGGTTGTCAAACTCACACAAGCCCTGCCAAGTTTAGCTTCAACCCTAATTAAACACACCTAATCAAGTTTTAAAAACTGCAGGTGTGTGTGTTGAAGCAGGGTTGGAACTAAACTCTGTAGGGCTGTGGCCCTCCAGGAACTGAGTTTGACACCTGTGCTGTAAAGTGTTACTGATATTTGAAAGAAATCGAAGAGGTTTCTGTCTCTTCATAGACAGTCCTACAAGATCCGAGAAGTCATAAAGGTGTCGTAAAACGAATCAAGCACTTTAATCCAAGTCTTGTGAGGAGATGCGATCTCTTTATTTGATGAACAGATTTCATTTAGTCTAACTCTTTTTTATTGCTGCTTTTCAACAAGAGATATTCAGTTTTTCTTGTGCTCTTTGTTTATTAATAAATCATGGGTGAGGGAAAAGAGCAACAAGGACCAAATACTCTGTTGCGTATACAAGAAATGACTAATCCATTGATTTGTTTTTTAAAGTATGATAGTTGGACAATAAATATATTGTTTTAAAAATCATTCTAAATGTGAAAGAACAGAGTCCAGATCATAACAGTCGTTGCAATCAAAATGATTTTTTTCCCAGCTGATAAATAATTAAAAACACTGACAGCCAATCAGAATTCATCCAACTACAGAACTGCAGTGTGGTTTTTGGTAACTTTTGTTACCTGGACTATCAAAAGAAAGACAGAAATGTGTGTTTCGAAGATTAACCAAAGCCTTTTGGGTTTGGAATGACATAAGGGTGAGAGAATTTTTGGTTTTTGAGTGAGCCTAACCCTCTGTGACAGTCAGCTACTGTATTATTACCGCTGGAGTCCTCTTACTTTCTTTCCCGTGGGCACACTTCCCGTGAAGGAGATCTTAGCCACAGCCGGGTGATGGCACAGGAGAGAACCCGTCTCTTCTCCGCCCTGCACCACATTGAACAGGCCCTCGGGAGCTCCGGCCTGTGAATAAATCTCAGCCAGCAGCACTGCAGTCGCGGGGGTCACCGGAGACGGCTTGAACACCATGGAGTTGCCTACAATTGAACCGTAATAGCAGGCTGTAAATGGAGACTGTTAAGATAATCATTTCAGCCACAGATCAAGAGCAAAAGAAGAGGGTATTAAACTAATACAGCTCAATAGCCTTCAACACGAATGAGAGTTTCAGGAGACTAAGGTAGATTAAAATACACTCAAATCTAGAGGGTTTAGAGGGTTTGCTCAAACCTCTAACCCCTAAGAGCAAAACTGATGATGAAGTCGGAATGAAATGGACATTCGCCCTATCTATTCTCTAATTTTGAACAATTCGTGCATATATTTCATTTTTAAAAATTGGCCTAGATTTGACCTAGATACCTAGATTTTCAGGTGAAACGACAGACATATGTCGGACTTCTCCCATAATTGAATCCTTTCTCACATTCAACTGCAAGCTCACATTCAATCCAACAACTGATGGATAAAACCAAGTCCCTGCACTCCGTTTCACTCGGAAGTACATCATAATACGGAAGAAAAGTTCTGTATGTTACGTTGCAACGTTAGGCAAGCTTTAACAGCTTAAACTAAGGCCAGGTACAAACGGAGCTGATATATGCCAGATAAGATAAGGAAAGATTGTGAACTACATTTATTTACGTATTCACATTTATTAAATTGTTTTCAAGTAGGGAATGAACAATATATTGGCACTATATCAGTTATCTGCCGATATTACAGATTTTTTATTTATTTATTGGTATCGGTTATTGGTTAAATAATCGTGCATGCTCATTTCCACAACTTTAACATTTAGATTATCTATAAAAAAAAAAGGTTAAATGTAATCTTTAGCAAATGTAAATACACTTGTAGCTTTTAAAATTGATTTTTTTTTTAAACCATACATTTTCATTTCCATTTACCAGCTATTGGCCATAATAACATCAACAACAAATTATTATTATGTGTGACTCCATGGAAACTTTGCTAAGCCACACTTATATGACACATACCACAAGCGATGGCAGGGGCAGATTTCCAGGCTGCGATTTGGATGGGATAGTTCCAGGCTCCTATTCCCACACACACACCCAGCGGCTCCCGACGCGTGTAGGCAAATGAACCTCCTGCTAGCTGAACGTGCTGACCTGAGAAAGAACAGCCGCTAACCCATCTGTACAATTATCATGTACATTACCAGTCAAAAGTTTGGAATAACTAAGGTTTTCTCATGTTTTTGGACCTTTTGGTCATCAAGGCTGATCAAAAAATACAGTAAAAAACATAATATTGTGAAATATTTCAATTTAAAAGAATTTTGCATTTTTTAAATTAAAAAAATTTCAAATGTTATTTATTCCTGTGATAGAGCCAAATTTTCAGCATCATTACTCCATTTTTCAGTGTCACGTGATCCTTCAGAAATCATTCAACTGAGAACGATCAACAACAAACCAACTAACCTGAAAGGACGGTGGCTTGTCCTGCAAAATACTCAATGCACAGTCTGGCCGAGTCCACATCTAAACGGGCTTCGGTGATGGACTTGCCATTGTTGACTACCTCCATCTCAGCTATCTCCTCTCTTCTCTTCTATTCTCGACAACAGAAATAGCTGAAAAGATCAGACTCGGCACTTCTTGAATCAATGCAGCGTTATTATGTAATGCCTTAGGATGTCGGATCAGTGCAATTCCGGTCTACCTCAATGAGTCTGGCCGCCTCTAGCATGACTCTGGCTCTTTCCATGCCTGCCAGTTTACTCCACACTGTGAAAGCAGCACTGGCGCTCCTGACAGCTGCATCAACCTCTGTGGCTCCACAAGCTTGCAGCTGGCAAAGGACACGACCTGGGATACATCAAGACACGACAGGATCAGAGATGGTAATGTTTTTAATCATAGAACATCCTGTATAGAAAAAAAAAAATCAATGCACAGGCATAGCCAAATGTGACTGTGATCATGTGACGGGGCAAAGTCTGATTGGTCAATGCCTAGAGTGGGGTTAAATGAAGAAATTTAGTTTTGTAAAAGCATTACCTGTCGCAGGCTCATATACTGGTTCGGATTTGGCTTTCACATCTTTGAGATTGACTCGGCCACCACACCAGTAGTTGAGTGGCTCTTTGATATGGAGGGTTCCTGAGGATGAGCTCCTGGTCCCGGTGGAGTAAAGGGCCCCCCGGAGACCCGGGGTCAAGAGAGAGCTCAACAGGGCCATCTTCATCTCCCTAACACTGAACTTTGACCCCCTGGACGAGTGTCAACAAACGAGGTCGTTTCAGATATTGCACCAAAACAGCGTCAAACACAAATTAGAAGAGAGCTACAAATTAAAAACAGCCATCAAAACTGAAAATTATTTGTAAGTTAAGTTTATGGCTATTTTATCGTAGTGAAAAGTCTGTAAAAGTCGATGGCAACAACATCAGCTCTCCGTTTAAATGCAGCCTAACACAGAGCAAAGCGTTATGTTAAGGCTTGAAAACAAAAACACTAGTAAGCAAAGGTTCAGCAATGACGGTCACTTACCTTCCGCATCTGATCCCTGATCTGATCTGCTGTAGGTTTCGGACCAGTCCAGCCATGGTCGATCGTGTTTAGGGCGGGGCTTATGCGCGAGAACGATTTCCATTGGTTTGTTCTAGATGATGTCATGTGACGTTTTCGGAGATAAAACTCAATGAAAGTTTTAAATATTGCATAAAATATATCTTCTCCAGATTATTTGTGGAGGCACTACTCATTTTGTGAATTTATATCATTGTGAAATAAACCTAAAATCACCCATTCCTGTAATCTGAAAAATGTAATACAAATCAATGTCATTTTTTTTATTGTTTTTATATGATAAATGTTTTATACAGGGATAACGGAAAATCTCTTTCAATAACTCTGCAGTTTTGGCTTACTACTTTGTGAGGGGAAATTCGGTTTCCTTTTGTAAACTATCTTTTAATTTGTATGACGTTATTTGAACGGACTTACAGACAGACAGACAGACAGACAGACAGACAGATAGATAGATAGATAGATAGATAGATAGATAGATAGATAGATAGATAGATAGATAGATAGATAGATAGATAGATAGATAGATAGATAGATAGATAGATAGATAGATAGATAGATAGATAGATAGATAGATAGATAGATAGATAGATAGATAGGCTTATGCTGCTCATTTATGACCTGAAAACGTTTAAATGTTTGTTCATGTACGTTTACGTCAATATAAAGAAAGAGCAAATGCGCGACAAAGAGAAAATAATATTTAAATCGATGGATTATTGGATATAAAAAAAAATCCTTATATGAAAAATAAAGGTAGCCTAATTCAAATTACACGTCTTAAACAGTATACTAAACGAAGGAGGGAACAGCTTGCAATGTAAGCATTATTTTCTTTGTGAGAGCAGTGAGTGAGTGGGACAGTAAAAGAGGAGGAGCGCGAGCACCGTGTGTGTATATTATTAGAATAGCGACATACACACACACGCTTTTGCTCTCCACTCACTGCAAGCATGGCTGGCGACTCTGAAACACATCTTCAGGACAGAGAGGAGGAGAACGGCCACACCATCCGACAGCCTTTCCTCATCGGTGTGTCTGGAGGCACCGCCAGTGGAAAGGTTTGAGCTTTAGAGGGTTTATCAGTAAAACCGTACAGACTCCCGATTATTATCATGTTGGTTAACGGGGGTTTTCTATGACGCACCGGTGCCTCCAGCGACCGCGTGGCTTTAGTCAACTCTCACAATGAGATATATAACAAAACACATTGTAAATACGGCATCGGGGATTTTAAAACGTATTCATATCTAGGTCAAAATCTACACCATTTTGTCATTCGGCAAGTCTTTTGTCATTCATTAGTGGAAAACAGTGAGTAAATTTCTAAACCGCGAATTTAAAACTGAAACTAAACGACGCCCAATAAGTTGTCCCGTTATGATGTGTCCAGATTTCGTGTTTATCATCGTAATGAATGTCGATAATGTAATGTTTTAGCTCCACGTGGCGTAATTCATTTTGAATTATCCCATTTTATGTTGTCGTTTATTTGTCCGTGAGCCACCTTGAATGTCTAAATCAGATGTTGACGTTTGCTACGTGTTTATCTCTAGCCAGACGCCTTTTAAGTCGCTGTTACAAAAAATAAAAGTGCCACTTCCTCCTCGTAGGCGACCGAAAGTTGCGGGAACGTGACGTCATAATAGCGGAGGATGTTTACATTGTCCCAGTGACCCCGTTTTAGTAACACGTCACGCGTCATTAATCTTCCACTGACCTTCATGTGCAGAATTACAGCTGAACTTCTGAAATGTCTCTTAAACCATGTTACTTGCAGTCAAAGTGTGGTTTGTCCACACTTTCTGCTGCCATTGTGTTCACTGGTGTCAGTGTGTGAGGGAGGAAACACACGTTTCTCACCTGATTACAAATAATGCCTGACACACATTCTAACTGTACAGTTGGCCATGGATAAAGCCAGGCCATGCTTCCCTGCTGAATTTCCTTACATGGGAGATCTGACCCACCCCCCACAGTTCATAGCACATGTCTGCAGAGACGCCAAGTCTTCTTTATCTACAGTTCAAGTTAAATGGAAAGATCACTCAGATATGGAAATCGGGTCCCTGTTTACTCGCCTTTATGTCGTGCAGAACATAACAAGAATGCTGGTAACCAAACACTTCTGGTGTTCACTGACATGACAATTTTCATTTATAGGTGAACTATCCCTTTAACAGTGTAAAGCCTGACATATGAAATGGAATGATTTATTTAACTTTTATACACTATATTAAAATAAAAAGTATCATATTTATACATATGGCTCATACTTGAGGCCCATACTGAGCAAAAACATGCAATTTGCTGCAGTTGCTGATATTTATATGGCAAAATAGCTTGTAATAAAATCAATGAAATCTTTATTACAGTTTAGAATACTTGCATAAAATGCATATAAATATCAGTCGTCGCTCTATATCTCCCAATAATGTCTTAGTAAGATGATATTTAAATGCTCTGTAGTTTTTATTGTGGGGGCAAAACATACAATACAACGATGATTGAGTGATTAATAAAAATTCATCAAAAGCCTGTTTCATATTTGATACCTGATAACATGATTCTTCTTCTTCTAAAAAAAAAAGATGTTTTGTTAATCAAGTAAACCCAAGATGCTTCAGTCTGGTAATTGTTTATCTTGAAATATTAGTAACAATGTCAAATTTATTCTTATGTTTACTTTATAAAAGTCACCAAAACTTGAAGGTGGACATTTTCAGAATCATACTAAAATATATTTTACTAACCAAAAAATAATAAACCCATCAATCAGACGACAGAATGTAGATTGTGTACAACAGGTTCCTTGGTAAAGTTTTGATCGTTTTGATAATTTAGAGGCCTCGATTATGTTACAGTAGGCTTTGTATGGTTAATAATACAAAAACAGTGGCTTTAGGATGTGTATATGTGAACTGGGTATCGTAAAGAGTCTGGCACTTACAAAGTCCTGTGTCCTGTCTTTAGTCTTCAGTATGTGAGAAGATCATGGAGCTGTTGGGCCAGGATAAAATTGACCGTCATCAGCGGCAGGTGGTCATCCTCAGTCAAGACAGCTTTTACATGGAGCTCACGCCTGAACAGAAGGCCAAAGCACTCAAGGGCCAGTTTAACTTCGATCACCCAGGTACTATAAGCTCTGAGGGTCGTTCAAGGAACCCTTTTTTATTCTGTGGAACACAAAAACCCCTTAAAGGCCCTGATAAAGTGCGAAAAACGTGAACAGCGGTATACTGTTAGCGAACATCCTGATGCCGCCCACACTGATGAGAGTGGCGTTTAAATGCATATGTTAATATGTGCTTTCCTTTCAGTAAGAAAAAATGACAGCGGTGAGAAAACGGTAGTTAAGAAAGCATCTTATCATAGGGATGATGTGGATTGTTTGTTGGCAATACGCCACTAAGTCACGTTTATTTACAGATGAAACTCGAAAAGTTAGAATATGGTGCAAAAGTTCATTTATTTCAGTAATTCAACTTAAAAGGTGAAACTAATATATTATATAGACTCATTACATGCAAAGTGAGATATTTCAAGCCTTTATTATTTGTTATAATGTTGATGATCATGGCTATGAAAACCTTTTCACAATATTCTAATTTTGAATTTGGGGTTTTCATAAGCTGTAAGCCATAATCATCAAAATTTTAACAAATAAAGGCTTGAAATATCTCACTTTGCATGTAATGAGTCTATATAATATATTAGTTTCACCATATTCTAATTGTTTTGCAATTTATAGTAGTGTTGTCACTATACTGGAATTTCCAACTTCGATATGATACCTTGAAAATATTGATTTTCAATACCACATGGAAGCTTGTTTCCGCCACATAATAAAACATTTTAAAAGATAATTGCAACTTTTTATCTCACAACTGCGAATTCACATCTCGCAATTCTGAATTGCGAGTTATAAAGTCAGAATTGCGAGATATAAACTCACAATTCAGTTATTTTTTCTTGCAATTGAGTTTATATCTCGCAATCCCGACTTCTTTCCTCCGAATTGTGAGTTTATATCTCACGATTCCGACTTTACAACACGCAATTGCGACTCTATATCATGCATTTCTGACTTTATCTCCCAATTGCGTGTTAAAATGTCAGATTTGCAAGATATAAACATGCAATTCTGAGAAAAAAGTCAGAATTGCACGTTTATTTCTCACAATTCTGACTTCATAACTCGCAATTGTGAGATAAAAAGTCGCAATTACCTTTTTTATTTTACAATATTCTAATTTTGAATTTGGGGTTTTCATAAGCTGTAAGCCATAATCATCAAAATTATAACAAATAAAGGCTTGAAATATCTCACTTTGCATGTAATAAGTCTATATAATATATTAGTTTCACCTTTTAAGTTGAATTACTGAAATAAATGAACTTTTGCACCATTGATTATTTATTGATTATTTAAATTCAGACTGGTTATAGTCAGGTAAACACAACGTAGCAGCGTTACATTACTGTTCGTTCCTCTGGCCTGAACGCAAACCATTCTGCTGGAAAAGGAGTACAGGTCTTCAATTTTTGTTTGATTTAAAAGATGTGTCATATGGACTACTTCTTTTAAGGATCAAAATTGTGTTGTCTCTTTGATTAGCTTCTAATTGAATAGAGAATAATCTGTTCATCACTGTTTCCATAATGCTTAGATGCTTTCGACAATGAGCTCATCATGAAGACTCTGCGCGACATCATTCAGGGGACCACTGTGCAGATCCCAGTTTATGACTTTGTTACCCATTCCAGGTCAGCGCTGCTCCCCCTGTCGTTTCTGGGTGCTGTTTTGGGGAGTTGTGATATCACTGCTGAATGACGTGTTCTCCAAACCTCTTACAGGAAGGATGAGTTTGTGACCGTGTATCCAGCGGATGTGGTTCTCTTTGAGGGGATTCTCATGTTCTACTCGCAAGAGATTCGAGATCTGTTCCAAATGAAGCTGTTTGTGGACACGGACCCAGACACGCGCCTCTCGCGAAGAGGTAGATGCATTGTGTGTGTCATTTTTCATTGATTCATTTCTGGAGCAATTTGGTTTAGGTAGTGCCTTTTTTCTTTCTTCCCCTTAGTAGAGTATGAGTTGTAGCTTTGTTTATTATAGTAAAAGTGGTTTTCCACTTGGAAGAACTTTATTTTTCTCTCATTTATGTGTTCAATAATTTGTTGTTCTATACTGTGTGTGTGTGTTTAAATATATATATATATATATATACAGTCAAAAGTTTGGAAACATCACTATTTTTAATGTCTTTGAAAGAAGTCTTATGCTCAGCAAACCTGCATTTTATTTGATCAAAAATACAGAAAAAACTGTATTACTGTGAAATATTATTACAATTTACAATAATGGTTTTCATCAGCCATTACTCCAGCCCTCAGTCACATGATCATTTTTATTCATCAATGAATCCTGAAAAAAAGTATTACAGGTTCCAAAAAATCATGTGACACTGAAGACTGGAGTAATGGCTGATGAAAAACATTATTTTAACTTGTAGTAATATTTCACAATATTACTGTTTGTTTTTTTCCTGTATGTTTGATCAAATAAATCCAGGTTTGCTGAACATAAGAGACTTCGTTCAAAAACACTTAAAAATAGTAATGTTTCCAAACTTTTGACTGGTACTCTGTGTGTATATACGTCAAAGCACAATACTGGTCTTGGCTTGTTGGTAACATGGATAATTAATCACTTTCACAGACAGAACGCTAGTAATATCTGCAAGTTACACTTTTTAATTTTGAAGTGATACTGTCTGTGATATTGATTAATTATCTATGTTACCAACAAGCCAAGGCCAGTATTGTGTGTGTGTATATATATATATATATGTGTGTGTGTTATTCAATCATCAATGAAAATGTTGACTGAAATAAAATAAGTTGCAGTGCTAAAATTACTAAAACAGAAAACTTAAACTTAAAAGTTAATAAATGTTGAAAAAAAAAAGGATTGAATGACAAAATCACTGTATATATATATATATATATATATAGTGCTTTGACAAAAGCACAAAATTATTTATATATATATATATATATATATATATATATATATATATAGTGCTTTGACAAAAGCACTAAATTATTTATATATATATATATATATATATATATATATATATATATATATATATATATATATATATAAATAATTTAGTGCTTTTGTCATTTTCATTCATTTTTTATATAATTGAATGAGATAAAGTACCTTTGATTTGTAAATTATGTGATTTGCTTATTAAAAAGTGGGCATTATTATGTAATAAATAAAGGATTTTTAGGCTGTACTTCCAGCTATAATATCTGTGTTGAGGTAAAATTACCGTGAATGTTTTCATATCACCCAGCGCTGTCCCTTAGCATTAGTTATGTAGACTAGCACAGACTAATCATGCTTATTTTCATGTTTCACTCAGTGTTGCGGGACATCAGTGAGAGAGGCAGAGAGTTGGAGCAGGTTCTGAACCAGTACATCACCTTTGTGAAGCCGGCCTTTGAGGAGTTCTGTCTTCCTGTGAGTATCTTCGTAAACGTCTTCCTAAATCCAGTCCTGACTGCACTGTTTTGTCAGGACAGGCATCACGTATATATAAACTTGATACTTTCCATCTGCTTTCTCTATTCTTAATGCCCTAAATTATCTTTAACATTTATTTTTTGCAGACCAAAAAGTATGCGGACGTCATCATCCCTCGAGGAGCAGACAATCTCGGTAGGATAAGAAGAGCAAGTTTATCTTTTTAACACACATTATTATGGAGAGAGATTTAACTTGATGTGCTTGTATTCCATTTGTCTAGTGGCTATCAATCTGATCGTGCACCATATTCAGGATTTCCTGAACGGAGGATTCATCAAACGACAGAACGGTCTACAGAACGGCCACGGGACACCCAGACAAAGAAGGACGTCCGAGTCGAGTAGACCTCACTGACCTCGCTGTGACCCTTCCCTCCATTGAGGAGAGGGCAGAACTGAATAATTCACAGTGGCATCCCGTTGAGAATAAGGGGATGCAGGAGCTGAAATGCCTTTGTTGTTGTTACTATTATTTGCATTTGAAATGTTGTTGTGGATAATTGTTTGCTTTTATAGTTTTTCAGAGGGTTTTGATGGTGCTGTATGTTTTTGGAAGATTTGATTACACACTCGACCTGTCCTGTCAGTATCTATGGTTTCTCAGCTACTCGGAAAATAAATGAATAGTATGGAATGTTTCGTAGAGACAACATTGATCACAGTGCTATTAGCACACATACTTGAAGTCAGAGCTCAGGTTGGGTGGGTTGTTCCATCCACAAAGAAAGAAAAAAAACCCTACTACCTCATATCTGAGGCCCTTTTATGCGTGTGAGTGAAGAGATGTGTTTTTCGTAAAGATCCCATTATGGTACACATGTCATTTAGTTTTTTTTATTTTTGTAATTTGTAGCTTTCTAGTTGAATCTCAATGTTGTTACATGGTTCTTATAATTGTAGTCTTTTGTACATATAACATTACCCAATTTGTCATGTTTTGTCTACTATATTTGGTGTTACCAGAAATAGTTTTTGCCTACAGTATCTCAGTGTGCATGGAGTGTAAGGTTTTATGCCAATTATACCAGTAATAATACCTGATTCGATGTAAAAAAACAGATTAAAATCGGGGATTACAGTCAGACATGTTGGTCTTTGTAACAAAGAAATACCTCAAATACTTTTATCGTTAACAGCAAGATATTGATTAACAGAATTTTACTTTAGTAACCCTGTGCACACTTCTTCAATGAGCCTGTGATTCCTTTCCCCTTCATGCCTCTGTGCCACGTTTTTTTTTTTTTAGGAATTATTCACCAGATAAATTATTTATATCTGGTTTTGTTGACGAATAACCCACTATGTTGTGGTGGAATAAAATAATAAAACTATAAAAAACTCTTTTTGGTTCTTTGTACACCTCTCTTCCATCGTTTCATAGATGTAATACCAAACATGTCCGCTAGGCGGAGCATCTGCCGTGGCATCTGTCGCGGTCTTTATACGCAGTTGGATGACGTCGAGCAACAGAGGCGTGGCTCAATATGGGGGTATGTGTGAAAGCTGTGCATACTTGCCTTTGATAGAAAGCCAGTGAATTGTTGCTCCCTTCTAACTATTTATTTTTGTCTATGTAGAAATTTGGGTTGCAGTTTAAAGCGACTTTGGAGAATGTAACAAACGTGAGGCCGGAGGGGGATGATTTCCGCTGGTATTTAAAGGTAAAGTGTTCATGTCGCTGCTAGTATGCAGCAGTGTGACAGGCTGCCAGTCAATCAGTGTATTTAGTTGCTCACTGTTTTAATGGAAATTGAGAAATAACTAACTTTTCAGCATATATAATAACTACATTACATATTTAGAATCATTCGTAAATGCGATGAATACTGATCATTCTAAATAGTGTTGAAGTTGTCAGTGGCCATGTGTGTTTAATGACGTAATTTAAAGGGATAGGTGACCCAAAATTTTAAATTGTCATCATTTACTCACCCTTAAATTTGTTCCAAACCTGTATGAATTTCATTATTCTGCTGTACACAAAAGAAGATATTTCGAAGAATGTCGGTAACCAAACAGTTGAACAATTGACCATCTTTAGTATGGAACATTTTTTACTGTGGAAGTCAATGGGGAAAATCAACTGTTTGGTTACCCATATTCTTCAAAATTGCTTCTTTTGTGTTCAGCTGAAGACTGAAATTCATACAGGTTTGGAACATTTTTATTTTTGAGTGAACTATCCCTTTAATTACTGACTCCTGTCTTTGCAGCTGAAGTGTGGGAATTGTGGTGAGGTGTCGGATAAATGGCAGTACATCACCTTACTGGTAGGTTGCAAAAAGTGGGAAATATAACCAATAACTGATTTGCATCATCTTGCAGTATTGTTGCAGGATGCTGACATGCTTTTGTCCAAAGCAACTTTAAAAATGAGAAGAAGAAAAAACAAAACAAAGGAGCTAGCAATATTAGCAGTCAATACTAGCATTACAATTGGGGATTACAATGATAACTGCATGTTCCTTTTCAATATTTTGAGGAATACTGCATTGAAACATGAATTATTGATTTATTTTCTATTTTCTTTCTGTTGAAAAATGCATAAAACATAATAGAAAAGTGATGATACTGTGATAAATGATACTATGTATGCAGGGACAATATGAAATAGTTAACTCAAAATTAAACTTTTGTCATCATTTACTCATCCTCATGTGGTTCCAAACCCGTATGATTAAAAAAAATTATAATTTCCATTTAAGATGTTATTCATTCAAAATCTCACTCATACAAAGCGCACATTTGCATTTGTGTGACTTTGTATGAAAAATTGCTGTGGAATGTTTAATAAATAGCTTTAGTGCAAAGAAGTCAAGGTCTGTATTGTGATCGCTGGGCCTTTCCTCCCTTCAGGACAGCATGCCACTGAAAGGAGGACGAGGGAGTGCTAGCATGGTGCAGAAGTGCAAACTCTGTTCTCGAGAAAACTCGATAGGTAACCAACCTTCTAGTTAGTAAATGTGCTGAAAATATGCTACCAAATGGGCCAAATCTCCATATAAGTTGCACCATAATATCATCTTTATTGTTGTTTCTACATTTTTGGTTGTGCCATGGGTCATTGCACTTATTGGACTTGACGGGATGTCTTACTGTTTCCAGATATCCTGAGGGACACGATTACACCTTACAATGTAAGTAAGGCAGATTACATTTATTTTGAGGATTGTTTGTTACTTCAAAAGCCACATTGTACCAAGTGAAGGATGCAATTGCATATGAATATTTACCGTTGCATATGTTCATGTATTTTTTGCTCAGTCATGCTGGTATATGTATTTTCTCTCCTGTAGGCAGAAGACAGTGAAAGGTTTAAGACAATGGTGCAGTTTGAGTGTCGAGGCCTGGAACCAGTCGATTTTCAACCTCAAGTGAGATATTCCAAATATTTAAGTAGTGTGTATATACACTGCCCGACCAAAAAAAAGGGTTGCTGTTTGGATTTCAATTGGCAAATGCTTAAAAGTCAATGGGTCTCATTCATGAAACATTCGTAAATATACTAGTAAATATGCGAGTGATTTGCGCGTAAAGAGACCTTCCCGAAAACTCTTCTCCTGATTCACAAATACTTCGTAAACGTCAGATGTGATCGTGAAATGTGTGTGTGTGTTAATGAATTCCAATCAGTCGTAAATGGGATGCGCGTTCACGTTCATTCTCAATTACCATAAATCCCGCCCATTAAATCCGACTGACAACTATATATGGGCATCATATTATGACATGAATGCGAATGAAGAAAAAATTCTCAGATGCAGAAATTGAAGTTTTATTATCAGAAGTTCATTCAAAACGCCACATTTTATTTTCAAGCGTACATAGTGGCGTATCGGGTCCTAAAAAAAAGGAAGCTTGGCAGCATATTACAGATGCAGTTAATGGAGTTTCATCTGTTAATCGAACATTCCCAGAAGTGAGAAGAAAATGGTTCGAATGGCTTGAGAGCAAAAAACGAATTAGTTCACTTCGGAAAAATAGTATTCAAACTGGAGAAGGACGACCATCGCAGATGCTATTACTGGCTCTCATAATAAGAAAAACCGTATGTAATTACTATATATAATATTTTTTCAAAATGCTGTGCAAATATGTACCCGATTAAGGTGAATTAAAATGCAGCCTTATTAATCGGCAAAACGTTCGGGTGTTAAGCGCACTATTTACGCGTGGCTGGGAGCAGGTGTAGATTTCTTGTGTACCAACTAACATTTGGAAAATAGGAACATTTTAATGAATCCGAAAATTTACGCCAGAACCACTTTACACACGATTTACACAAAAATTAGTTCTGCTCGTGTTTCATGAATGAGACCCAATGATTGGATCATTATTGCAGTGATTATGATGTTTCTAGCATTTAATATGTTTGGCAACAGTTCTTCTAACCCTAATTGATGGAGTGTGTAGCTTTTAATTTCTTAAACAAACATGGCCATATTCCAGGATGACAATGTCAAGATATATCAGGCTCAAATTGTGAAAGAATGGTTAGGAGGGACGTGAAGAACCATTTACACACGTGAATCCAGACCTTAAATTCATTGCAAGTCTTTGGGATGTGCTGAGGAGACTTTACAGAGTGCAGGGGGCTGTTCCATAAACCAAGATTAGAGTATAAGCCAGGCTTATTTCGGTTAGTCAGGCTTATTTTTGGTAGATTCGGTTTCATAAATCAAACTTAAAAAAGTTCAAACTCAGTTACCCTGGCAACTTATGCTGGGAAACTAGCCTGGTCCAGGGCAGGCTAACTGTCAGGCTAAGCCTCAGTTGTTACACAGATCCTCAACACTGACCGACAAGAACACAATGATATTACCACTGACAGTCTCTAATACCATTATTGGACTTTATAAATACACAGTATACAGAAAATCAACTTAAATAAGGCTACAATATAGACACATATATAAGGCGTTTTAAAGTTGTCCGTTTAGGACATGTCATTTTTGTAATAAAGACATTTTAATTAAGGAATGCCTCGGTTATCAGAGAATTCTTTCTCTACACTGTCTCTTATATATATATATATATATATATATATATATATATATATATATATATATATATATATATATATATATATATATATATATATATATATATATATATATTATGTCTTTCAATTCAAACACATTTAACACAATTATACAAATGGACAGTTCCTTTAAAGACATTATTTCCCCCCAATAAATATTCCTTATTTTTCCTTCTACTTTTTTTTCTTTTGTGATAATACCAACACATACATATAAATAAAACAATAAATAAATATTAATAAAAATATAACATTCACATATATCAAACTCTTATAATGAATGACACATAATTCCTAATAGTTATTCAAGTAATATTATTTAAATATCAAATATTCAATATTAAATAAGTAGATAAATAAAATTACAAATAACTAGAAATAAAAGGGAAGGTTACATAAAAATGTAGTAAATGTAGGCCAATATATATTCCTTTATTTTATGGAATATTCTTTGATTTTAGAGTTGCACATATCTTTTCAAAATGTATACATTTGTTCTTAATTTAATGTTATCCTCTCCATAATGTACTTTAGAAACTAAATCTAACCACTCATTTAAAACTGGGGATTCTTGCTTTCTCAAAAAAAAAATC